TTCAGCTTCTTGAATGTTTATCTTCTCATCCTTCAAGATGTTAGGAAAATTTACTTCTGGAAGCTCTTCAACTGTTTCTTCTGTGAACTTCTGTGATTCTTCCTGTCCTGGAATGCCAATAATTCTTAAGTTATTCTTCTTCATGTAATCCAGCATGAATTTTAGACTCTCTTCAAAAATTTTAATCCTTTTTTCTGCTTGCTCTTCTGTTTTAGCAGTATTGAGAGATTTGTCTTTCAGCTTGCTGGTTCTGGCTTCCATCTCTTCAATTCTACTCTTTTGCCCTTTCAGTGTATTGTCCACTTCTAATAGTTTATTATTAATCATCTGGACTTCTTTTTGCAGGCTTTGGATTGTTTCCAATGTCATATCTAACTTGTTTGATTGCTCCTGTAGCACTTTCCTGAGTTCTTCCTTATTTTGTTTCACCTCTTTTTGGAGCATTTGAATTTGTTTCCATATTATGTCTCAGTTACTTTTTTCTGTTTTGAGACATGTGTTGAGTTCTTTGTGTTTTCTTGGACATTTTCAGTAGTTATGTGGGTTTTTCATGCTTAAATGGATGTATGTTGCTTTGTTGTTAAGCTTACTGAGTGTATCCTGGTGGATATGATCTGGAGATAGGCTTCCCTTTTTACTATAATGCCTAGCAGCTGGTATTGGCTCTTGTCCAGATGGTGGGCTATTACAGGGTATGCTTGTAGCTTGACTATATGCACACTGTTGTGGTCTCTTCTTGGGTAAGTGAGGGGGAGAAAGCTTCCACCCCTGGGAAAAAGAGTGAGACCAAAAGGACCAAAGACAGAAACAATATAAAAGCAGAGACAGAAACCACTAATCAAAAACTAACATAAAATCATAATTGACTGGCCAGTGGCCTTTGCTGTGCCCGCAGGGATAAAGGGTCCCATCCAGGTCAACTTGGGGCTTTGGAGCTCTGGTAGCATAGTGGTTACCAATTGGGCTGTGAATCCACAGTGGAAAAAGATGAGGCTTTCTGATCCTTAAAGATTTACAGCCTCAGAAACCCTGTACAGGGTCACTATGAGTTGGAACCGACTCCACAGCACATAACCAACCAACCAACCAACCCAGAGTTAGACATCATAAGAAGTAGCCTGTGGGATTCCTCTCTGTGCCACGGGAAAACTGTGAATCCAAGGCTGGACCCTTTTGGGGGTGTGCTCACACCCACCTGAAGGCGTCTGGGCTGGGCAGTGAGGGCATGATTGGAGTAAAACATGAAAGTGAAAGATGAAAAATCATTACACCTCTTTCTCCAGATGCGCACCTCTCGGCTTCTAGCGCTGGGTCACTGCCTCAAAATACATAATCTTTTAATGCAATATTTAAAATAAAGTTAAGGCAAAATCCACAATGAACAAATTACCAAAATTTTAAATAAAAATAAGGTTGGTCTGGCACAAAACAGGCTACTCAATAAAAATCAACTATGATTAGGAGGCGAGTAGACTTCAGACAACCCGAGGGACACAGTGACTCCTCTCCCCAGAAGAAAGCAGAAGCAAACACAATCTGTATAGTTGTGGGTGTTCCCGCATTTCCTGGGGCTCATCCACTTGGAAATTAATTAAGAACTCAGATTCAGCATGGAGATGAGCTGTGCTGGGGGCTCTGTGCGCCAGCCAGCTGCCAGTGGGTGCCCCAGCCTTCTTCCTGGCAGCTGTGGGTGCTCTGCCCCCTGCAGGAAGCATCGCTCAGCGATGTGGCTCCTTTTTCTTTCCTTTTTTTTAAACTACTGCCCCCCTCTCTAGCTTGGGACTTTTCCTGAAGTTTGCTGAAACCAGACACCTGGCTAGGCTGAGCCCGCGTGCAGCGGTGGTTTTAAAGGCCGCCTTCAGCGCCCCCTCCCCGCCCCCAGCGGAGACTTCAAAAGGCTCGGCGGGCGCCGCGGCCCCAGCACCTATGAGCCACCCCCTGTGTCAGGAGCCCTCGTCGGAGACGGAGGAGGCTGAGCTGCCGCAGTTCCAGGGCAGGCGGACCGGGCCGGCGGCGCAGCCCCGCGCGCCCATGCCCCTCCCGGCCCCGCTGCGCTCTGAGCGCCCGGGCCCCGTTTAGAGAAGGGGACCCCGCACCCCCACCTCCGCGCCCGTGCCCGGGGCTGCGGGGATCCATGAATACAAATGCCGTTAGGCGCGCGAGGAAGGACCGACCGGCCAGCCTCGCAACTCAGGACCCAGTAAGTGCCCAGAAGCTATCAAGCCATGGGGATACTGGGATACCGAGCGCCAAGGTGTGAGCACTAGCGGGAAGTGCGTGCATGTGGGCGAACAAGCGGCGGGCACCTAGGTTGTATGCTTGTGGGTATGCATGTGCACGGTGTGTACGTAGGGGAATCTGATTAGGCTAATGTTTATTTAAGAGTGTGTGCGTGAGCACTTGCGTACATGCGTTTGAGTGTGCAGAGTTCGGGTGTGCGCCCCAGCACAGATACCTGAGAGTATGTTTTGTATGTGTCTTCATGTGAATGAGTGTGTTTGAATTTGGGGTACGCGTGGATGTGTGTGGGAATGTGTTCGTACATCTGTGAATGTGAGAGTCTGTCAGTGAGATGGGGTGGAAGGAGTCAGGACTCGGACAGGAGTTTAGGTGTACGATTTGCCCCGGGGCATTTGCGAAGGGGCAAATAAATGTGCATTGTAATCTCAGGCTGAGATCCGAGGGTTTCCTTGGATGAGTTTTCGTGGTTCCTTAAGACTCTCATTTCTTACTAAAGGGAGCGGGAAGAGGAGGATAATCAACATTCAACAAACCCCTCCCCACCCTCAGCCGCCGCCCCACTGTCCAGGGAAGTCTGTTCTCCAGGGCGCTCTGAATCTGGGAGCGGCAATCGTGGGGTAGGGATGGATGAGGGGGGGTGGTGGGGGCTACTATTAGGACAGTGGTTGACTTGGCTCCAACTGTCTTCAGAATTGCCGGGTCCCTTTCGGAGTAGAATCTCCCCTCTTTCGCCTTCTAGCTGCCCATCTCCCCAACTCGGGAACTTGTAGTCTGACAAGCCAGAAGTCCCGAATCTCAGAACGTTGATCCGCCTGCTGTATAGCCTTGACCAACTCCTTCCTTTCGGTGCATACCAGCTTCCCCATCTTTACCAGGGGCAGGATGTTTTGGGTCGGCCGTGTCCCCGACTCTGGCCAGCAGGGGGCAGCAAGGGGCAGAGGAGGGCGGCAGGGAGAGGGAGGAGGGTAGGAAGGTGGAGAGCCGCCGCGGGCCGAGACTTTAAATCGCCTTCATTTCCCCCAAATCCTTCCTTTTCCTCTCCTCCCCTAGGCCGGCGGGGAGTCAGCTTCCACCGCTCTCCGCGAGCCCTAGCCCGGCCTTGCTCAGCCTCCGGGGACCGCCAGCAGCCCGCCTCCAAAAGTTTGATCATCCCCTCTTTCCCCTGCTTCTTTCTTTTCCGTGGAAGCAAAAGAACTAGGCAGGGGCGAGCGCGGCGCCCGGACTCCTGGGACCATGGGCCTGGCGCGGGCGCCCGCGGGGCCCCGGCTGCGCTGCAGGCCCGCTCCGGCGCCGCGGGGCGCGGGACTGCATTGGGGGCGCGGGAGCCGCGCGCTCTGAGCCGGCCTGGCGCAACGGGGCGGGGGGCTGGCGGCCCCATGGGGCGCGCCCACACTTGCCCCCCGGGCTCGGGAGCATGAAGTAGGGGCCCGCCATGGGAGCGGGATCGGCGCAGGGGGCCCGAGGCACAGCGGCAGCGGCGCGCGGGGGGTGAGTACAAGCTCGGAGATGTCCTCTGTACAGCTTCGGGGAGGGCTGGGGTTTCCTGCCGCGCTGGACGCTTCCAGCGGAACGTCAGCTTCCTGCGCCCCCGCGAAGTGGGCAGCCAAGAGTTAAAGCGGACTGCACCTCTAGCCCCCGCGAAGGTTGCGAGTGCTACACAGGCTTCCCAGCCCCGCTGGGGAGAGGGCCGAACTGGAGAGGGTCAGAGTGTGGGGGTGGATGATGGCGCCTGGAGCGGTGGCGGGGGGCTTTCTGGATGCCTGAGGAAGGGGAGGGGGGTGGTCTCTGTTTCTCAGTGTGTTCCGGTGTGTCTCCATGTCTGCAGGTCCTTAGCCTGTAAGTGTCTGTTTATGTCTGTTCCTTGTGAGACTGTCGGCAAGTTTCTAGGTCTCGAGTTCAGCTCCTGTCTCCGTGTGTGTGTGCGCACCTCTACGTTATTGTAAATCTCAGTGAGTGTGTGTGTGTGTGTGTGTGTGTGTGTGTGTGACTGGGTCCGTGTGTCTCAGCAGTTCCCTAACTCCGACGGTCTCAGTTCCTGCCTCTTCCCTGCATGAGTGTGTATGTGTGTCTAAGAGAGAGAGAGAGAAATGAAAGCTATTATGTCCGTGCAGAAAGGACCCCTGGATGTCCTCAGCTCCTCAGTGTATAGATTTGGGAGACCGAGATGGGGGTGTATTGACTATTGTAGAAGGGGTTGTGCCTGAGGATCTGATCCTCAGCTTGTGGAGTAGAAGTTGTAAGAGGGAGTGTGGGTGTGTGTTGGTAATAGAGCCTGGGGGCAGCCCCTGGGGCCCTGTGGACTGTGGCTGAGATGCACAGGACCAGCTCCTTTTCGGCACCCCTCCCCCCCACACACACAGACCAGGAGGACACTCCCAAGAGACTATATAGAACTCTACTCTGCCCTCCCCACTGTGCACTACCCCCTCTGAGTTGGAATCAGGGGTTTATGTCCCCTTTCTTCTCCATGTCTTGGATAAAACTGTCAGACTGAGATTCCCACACCCCCAAAGCCCCCACCCACACAAAACACACACACACACACACTTGTACCAGTGATCTCTCTGCTGACTCATTTTCTCCAGAAGACCCTGTGCCAGGGCAGATGCCAGTGGTTGGGCAAAAGAGTGGTGCATTGGCAAGCACCCTATAGTTGGCCCAAACTTCTTTCAGCCCCAACCTTTGCCTTCGGCCTCCCTACCTCCCTCACCACTGTATTGCCCCATCCTGTGTACTGTGGCTGTAGTATGCCTTCCAGTTTTGCTTCATGCACCGTTGTCTATGGCCACATCCCTGGCCTCTTCCTTCCTTTCATTTCCTCCCTGTACCCAAAACACCCTCCCTCCTACTGCCTCCACAAGGTCTCCTGTCCCTTGGGGCTCAGCTCCACAGCTCCCCATCCCCTGGTGGTGTGCAATGGAAGGAGCCACCCTCTATCCCTCTCTGAGCACAACCTCCCTGTGTGCCGGTTACTTTGCTGGAACATTCTCTCCACCATCTCTAAGTCCAGGGGCCCTGTTGATATACCTATACCTGGGCTTGGCACAAGGAAATACCGTATTTATTAGTTGATGGTAGGGATCCATAATGAAGTTCAGCTGGCAGGACAGAAAGGGCATGGCCCTTAGAATCTGACAGACTTGAGTTTGATTCCTGGTTCTGTCCTTTGAGCTTAGGCCAGTCACTCACCTCCCTGCTTCTCGGTTTTCTCATCTGCTTAAGTGGGCATCTTAAAAACCCTAGTTGGGTTTTTGTGAGGATGAATGGAATGGTGCTTGTAAAGGGCGTAGAGCAGAGTCTGGCATGTAGTAAGCACTCAATAAATGACAGCTGTTATTTTTATTATTCATTTTGTCTTGAATGGGTGTGTGAGTCAATGGGAATGTTCTGGGCTGTATCCTGTCCAGCCAGATGACCTCTTTGTGTTCCCATGGAGGAAGTGTAAGGTGTGAAGAAAGGTGCCTAGACATTGCTGTGTGGGCACACGGAGCCTCATCAGTCTAGGGGGGCAAATGGGACAGGTCCATCACTCTGTCTATATGTCCCCCACGAAGTTCTCTTCCCAGCTTACTCTTAGGGAGCCCAGCCAAGGGCCAAGTCCACAGAGCTGCCTTTTTGTGTTTCTGTTTCCTTGGTTGGGTCCTAAATCTGAGCTCTCAGCCGAGTACAAGCTGTGGTAGGGGTATGTGAGGTCCAAGGTGTTCCCAGGTAACAAAGATGGAGAAAACCCCATCCAAACAGGCTGTGGGTTCTAACAACCTAGTTGCCCTGGAGTAGCCACATTTGGCGCACTGGCCAAGATGCCTTCTTCAAGGGACAAGACCACCTGGGTTTCCTTCTTGGAGGGCCATGTGGTCAGGCTGTGTCTACAAGGCCAGGCTCCCTTCTTCGTGGCCCCCGCCGCCCTCCCTGGCCCCAGTGCTCTTGCCTTCCTGACATGCTGGAGGCCTGGGTTTGCTGAGCCAAGGCCCATGAGGCAGCCGTGAAAACAGAAGTCTGGAAGAACAAAGCTTGAGCCAGCGCCTGCACTAAACATTATTAACAGTAGCCTAAGAGGGAGTGGAATGGGAGCAAATGAATCCTCAGGGCCTCCTTCCAGGAGCCAACTTTCCAGGCTGGGAGCTTAGATGGCTTTGTTGGCTCCCTAGGCTGCAGCTCTGCTCCTGTTGGTGAAAGCTGGGGCTCTGGTCTCTGGCAAGTAGGAAGTCCCTTAAAGCCTCTAATTTGGTCTCCATAGGTGGCAAGACAGACATATCAGCAGGACTGTCCTTTAAGTGGTAGCAATGATGTGTATTACTGACTTGCTGTGTGGCTTTGGACAAGCCACTTTCCCTCTCTGGACTTCAGTGTCTCATCTCTACAATGAAGTGATGGGACTGGAATCTGGTCCTTAGATGATCTCTAACACCTTCTCCCTCTCTAATGTGCTTGATAATTTGGAAGTTTATGGGTCAAGTGCACACAAAATCCAGTTGCAAGAAGGCAAATTACACTTGTTTACACCCTCGGAAACCCTGTACAGGGTCGCTATGGGTCGGACCCGACTCGATGGCACTTTACAACAACAACAACAAGGGATAATAAATCGAGAATGCATACTTGTACTTTTGTAACAGACTTTCTGGACCACAAATTTCAAGTTAGAAGCTATGGTGTTAGGAGACTTGACGGAAGAGAAGATTCTGATTCCATCTTTCCTGTAAGTCTTTCTCCTGAGCCTTGTTGTTGTTGTTAAGTGCCATGAAGTTGGTTTTAACTCACAGTGACCCTGTATAGGGTTTCCAAGGAGCAGCTGGTGAGTTTGAACCACCAACCTGTGTTTAGCAGTCCAGTGCTTATCATATAGCTCCATGCCAGGATTCTCTCCTGAGCTTTAGAAAAGAAAAATATTTCGCAGTACTTTGCCTTCATATTAGTCACCTTGAAATAGCTACACCAGCCAGGAAAATAAACTGAGAAGAACTAAGTGGTCCTTATATATCTTGTTCTGGATGCCTGGCTTCTCTTCATCAATATGAGAAACCTACTAATATGGATGGATGTGATAGGCACAATGAGGAACTCAAGGAGAGAGGGTTAATGCCTAGAAAAGGCCTGGAGGAGAGGAAGCTGAAATGAAATAGAGACAAGCAGGATCCTAGAAAGACAGGACGGACGTGAGAGCAGTGTCTTTGGAGGAGGACTGAGCCTGCATTTAGAGGAAAAGTGAGTTCCCTAAGTTTGGGGAATGCTGAGTGACAGAAAGTGCAGCCAGTTTATTACAGGACTTCTCAAAACCTTTGCAGCTGCGCTTTGAGAACCACCCAGACTAAGATGTAAGAGACAGCTCTTCCCCTAACTTATCTTGCCACAATTTCCTAGACTGTCTACCTGGTAGATGTGGGAAATAGTACTGAAGAATTTATGAACCAAGACCCTGACCTTGAGGAATTATCTGTCTGCTCTGAGTCTCTGTTTCTGCCATTTGTCAAACTGTTTATTCCATTTCTCCAGGGTAAACAGCAGCTCAATTCAGGAGGGCAGCTTCTGGCCTTTCCAGCCCTCTCCTGTCAATCCCAGTATACTGACCCTTAGTTATTGGTGAGGAGTAGGTGGGAAGACTCTGTCTTGCTAGCTGTTTGGATGATCCAAGTCTGGATCATAAGGAGCATCGTGTGGAGAGTGATGCCAAGGCTGTCCTGGGAGAAAACCACTTTCCCAGATTTGAGAGAACCAGGAGGGAGCAGTGCTGGAAAAGCTGGGTGGGTGAGACAAAGTTTAAAGTCCAGGGTCCTGTAATATCAGGTAATATTCATTTACTCAGCAAAAAGTAGATGCTAGGAATACAAGAATGGGCAAAAGAGACGTGGTCCATGTCCTTCAAAGATAGTGACCACACAGGCCATACCTGCTGTGGTTGGGTGTGTGCAGCTGGCTGTGGGAGGGGATGTCCAAGCAGGGGTCTGTCAGATGTGTGGGAATTGACCAGGCAAGGGGAGCTGAGTCTGAACTTAGGAGCAGCACCTTCAGAGCTAGAGAAAGCTTTCTAGGAATCACCATCAGCCTTTGATTTAAGTGCGCTTGCCTCAGGCTGCGAGTCAAAGGCTAAATTCCACAAGGCTTAAACAATGCAGAGCGTTATTAGCTCGCTATTAATAAGTCTCCAGTGAGAGCAGAACCAGGATTGGTTAAATCAGCCTCTCAACCACTCCCCCCCCCCCCCCCCACCACCCCCCCCCCCCCCAGGTTATTTCTGTCTTTATGTTCTGTCATCCTGGGATCTTCTCCTTCTGCTGGGCTTAGTCACCTCACGTGCAGATGACTACCACAGCTCGAAGCGCTACATCCTCCATATCACACAAGGGTTAGAAGAGAACCTTCTCTCTGTCCCTTGGAAACACTTTCCTCAGAGCCCCTATCCCTCACATGTTGATCACATAATTGCAGAAACCAGTCACTAGCATAGTGAATGGAAACATCAGAACTGGTTTAGACTTCTTCAGACTCATCCAAAATCCTCTGAAGTTCTTGCCCACCTGAACAAGCATGAAGAGGGTGGCTGTGGGCAGGTAACCACTGGTGTCTTCCACAGTGTGCAGGTTATTATTGATCATAATTGCGACTGAATTAGAAATGAAGGGAGACTGGCAGCAGGTGTGAGCTTGCCCTCCAAAGTCCCCAGGGAGCCTGGGAAGGACCCAGGGCCCCAGACAAGAACCCTGGTTGACGCTTTTCCTGGATTACCTGATTCCCCAAGAGCACCCCCTGTCCCACCTACCAGTGTCCTACCTCCCCTGGGTCTCCGTCCCAGCCTTAGCCCTCATTACCTGCCTGGTGTTGCTCTCTCTGCCTGCAACCCGGCCAACTCTGGCCACGAGCCGCCCTCCTCTCTGCCTGCCTGGAGATCAGATGCCCTGGTGGCTTTGAGTGTCAGTGGTGGCTGCTCCCACAGGAAGGTGAATTCGGATCGTGGCCTTTTACCCATCTTGGCAGGAGCCACTGAGCTGAACATTAACCATTCCTGGCTCCATATTGTGTGGTGGGGGTGGGGTGGGGCAGCAGGGACCTTCTATGCAGGCCAAGCCTTTGACACTCAGAGGCTCATTTACTCATGTGTGTCCTGCAAGATGAGGAGACAGACTCAGTGACTTATCCAGAGCCCTGTAGCTGGTAAGCAGCAGGGCCAGGTTTGCACCTGGGTCAGCCTGACTCGGAGCATTACCTCTGTTCCTCTTGTTTTCCATCAACTTCCCTAGCATAGTCCTGGTCCTGTCTTGGGTCTGTAAAGTGAATTCTAGTCTCTCCTGCACTTTCAGGGCTTGGTCTTCCAAGCAGACCAGTCTGGAGCCTTGGCAGGATCTCAAGACCCAGAGAGGGAGAGAGGTTTGCTGCTGTTGTCCAGTGGGTTGGTGGATTTTGAACAGACCCTGAGTCTCTTCCTTTCTTCTGTGGATGTGATTTATTAATCTGTAAAAAATTAATCTGTGAGTTGTGAGTCTTTGGGGGCAAGAGGTTATGTTTGTGCTATGTAAGCAGGTCCCGTAGGTCAAATCTGCACCTGAAGACCTGGTGTGTGGGCTGTTCTTCTGGGGTCTAAGAGCTCTGCACCTCTCCTGCCGCCTCTCCCAGGGCGAGACAGAGGTGGACTGGGCTGGGCCAGTTATTCCTGTCCTTCCTCTAATCTGACCTAAGAGGTGAAGCTGATGCTTGTGTTTCCTGGTCTCTAGGGGGTATCTCTTCGCCTGGATCATAGTCTCGTTTGCCTGTCACCTGACCTCCACCCAAGGAGTTCCTGAAGGTAATTCTCTCTTCTTTGTCCAGCGGGAGGCAAGGGAGGACAGAAGGGGCTTGAGGACTTAAGAATAGCAGATAGCCATGCTCCTGATGGGAGCTTGGAGTCTTGATGTGGTGCTGTAGAATAAGCACTGGACTGAAAAGTCGGTTTGAACTACAAGGTCAGCAGTTCAACAATAGCCACTCCTCAGAAACCCTATACAGGGTTACTATGAGTCGGAACTGACTCGATGGCACTTAACAACAACAGCAATGGGAACTTGGACTCCTGGCGTGACACTGTAGGATAAGCATTGGGCAGCTAACCTCAAGGTCTGTGGTTCAAATCCACCAGCTGCTCCTCAGAAACCCTATACAGGTTGGCTATGAGCCAGAACTGACCCAAGGCACTGAACAGCAGTGGGAACGTAATGCCTTTGGTTTTCCCATCAATAGAATGGGCAAATTCTACTGGCAGATTGTCTTTGGATTTGGAAGAATAATGTCTAAAGTTTTGTTAGGGGTAGGAAGTACCCAGAGCAAAAATGTGGAAGGATGATCCTTTAGTAGCTGCTGTTTGGGGCCGTATTTAAATGGGTACTTTAGGACTGCAGAGAGGAGGTGCTAGGTCTCAACTGTAGCTACTCAAACCTATGATTCTGCCTTCCTCTTTCCTGAGATCCTGCTCCATTCCATCCCTAGCCCCCATCCTGGAGGAGCTGTCCAGGGGCCGGGTGGCAGTGGGCTGGCTACACAACTGCCCCTGGAAATAGAAACCTCTCCCACATTTGTTTGTCAAGCAGCCACAATGCCTCTTAAAATGGTTGTCCTTCCTCCTTGTTTCCCGCACCTGGTCATGTGCAAGGGGAGGCTGAAAGACCCTCTGCGGCTTGACCTGGCTGCTAGGCAGGGATTGGGCCCCTGGGAGGGCAGGGCCTTGCCAGAAGCCTCCTGCTGCCTGGCAACATTTGTGCAAATGTCATATTTTCCAAGCTTGCTATTTCCCCCACAAAGTAGGTGAACAGCTGTCCAGAGTCCTGAGTCAGGCAATGGGGGGCTGGGGGAAGGCTGGAGCTGTGTAGAGCCAGGTTTATGTAATAAAGGGATCTTGCTGGGGCCAGCTGGCTGGGTTCTTCTATCTTGGCTTTGGGGCTGAATTCACTTCCCTGTCCATATCTCCTTACCCCTAGGGAGGTTTTGGGTGTGTCTCCACCCTATATAGCAAGTTGATGGCTTCAGGATAGCATCTGAGAGAGTCCAGTGGTTAAGAACAAGGATCCTGGGACTAGATAGCATGGGTTAAAATTCCAAGTGTACCTTTTACAATCTGTGTGACCTTGGGCAAGTTATTATAATTTAACTTTTCTGAACTTCAGTTTCCTCATCTATAAAATGGGCATGCAAAGCACTTAGTTCATAGTAGATGCTCAATTAAACACTAGTTTTTATTATTGTTTACTATTGTATTAACCTTAAAACCCTGAGGAAGAACAGCCCTTTCCAAGTCCCTGCAGGCCCACAGTGGCCAGAGGCTCACAAAAGTGGAATACCGATCACCTCTGCCAGCTGCAAGCATTATAATTTGGGGTTTTGTCCCTTAGCTGTAGACAGTCTGCAGGCTGATGTGGACACTGAGAGACCTCAGCTTTGAAGCTCACTGGCTCATACGATGAGGGGAAACTTCACTGTTGCTGCTTGGCCTAGCCAGTTGGGATTTTCCTTAGACAAGCAGCTAGCTGCATGTCGACTGTAAACTAGAGCTTTTAGGCCTGGCGGGGGTGGGGCAGGGGTAGTTTCCTGCTCTTATCCCTATCCTATCCAAGTGGTCCCTTCCATTTAAAAATTGTCTATAGTGAATAATGTATTCTGGTACTAAGAGGACTTCCAAGATTCAATTACAGGAGATGTAATACTACTAAGAGAATCCTTAAGCAATGGATTATTTCTCTTAAAACCTGGAAGCAGACAGGAGTAGGGAGAAAGGGTGGGCAGGGGAGTTTGAGGGGAATGGAAAGCATTGTGTCCTGGTGGGTTACGGTAAGGTCCTCACTCCAAGCTCAGTAGAAACCGCAGCCTGGACTCTAGAAGTCTTAGGACATTGTTAGTATGCTGTGGCTCCCTCAATGTCTGCTTTAGTGCCTTTGTCTTACAGACAGGGAAACTGAGGTCCCAGCCAGGTAGAACTCACCCACAGTTCCTTGGTGCAGGGCTTGGTGCGGATAATGAGGAAACCGAGCACTGCATCCTCCCAGCTGTACTATGATGTAGCCCCATTTACAGCAGAGGGAACTGCGCCTCAGAGGCTCGAACACCATGCCATCTCACTGACTCCAGAGCCCGTGGTGGGAACTCAGGGGCTGTGTGTCCAGCACCCAGGTTCTCAGTTCTTCCCCAGTCCATCTACTTGCCCATCCGTACATCCACCCATCCATCTGTCCATCTATTCTGCAGGTTTTGACTGAGCGCCTACTAAGTGCCAAGTGCTACATTCAGCCCAGAGCACCCGTCCCCCCATGCACACCTTGTGCTGGGTGAGAACAGAGAAGAGCGTTTAGCACTGGGCTCGGTTGCAACACTCGGAAGAAGAGGCTTGAGGATTTGGCCCAGACCCTAGTTCTGAAACTGGCCTCTCCCTGTTGGGATTGGAACTCGGGAGCTGGCTTTTGCAGATTCTGGAGGCTCAGCCAACTCTAGGGGCTCAGGTGACCCTGCAAGAGGCAAGGTCAGAAAGCCCTTCCATAAACAACTTGAAAGTCCCCCTTGTGTGCTGGCAAGCCCCACAGAGGTAATTACTGAGCAGCTGTGACCTGGCCAGATCATTGTCAGATGTCCAAACACTGCCAGAGGACAGACGTTGTGGGGCTGTCTGATTGCTTCCCCTGCTTTCTACAAAGAGAGGCGGAGTTACAGAAATGTCACCTTTCTGCTCTGCAGACAGGAGCTCCAGATATCAGAGTTTGGGGGACCTGCCCCTGTTCATGCCTGAGGGAGAGCTCACGGTGGCCAGGGGACTGCGTGGGCTCCTGGGGAGGTGCTCATCTGGCTATGCTAACCAAGCTCTAGTGGCACTTCCAGAACTGTCACCCTGATCCCTCACTTATGGGATAGCTTCCTGGAGGAACTGGTGTTTGAGGAACAGAGAAGGGAAGCACGTCACAGGACCAGGCGACTGTAAAGCTGCTCGCACCAGCACTTGGTGATTGCTGTCATCAGTATTGTTTGTTACTCTCGAGTCAGCTCTGGCTCCTGGAGACCCCATGAACAACACAGCAGCATGCTGACTGTGGAGTGGGTCTACTGTCTTACTAATCAACACACTGCCATTGAGTCCGTTCTGACTCATGGGGAACCTTATCGAGGGGTTTCTGAGACTGTAAACCTTCACAAGTGCAATCAGCCTCGTGTTTCTCCCGAGGAGTAACTGGTGGATTTGAACTACAGACTTTGCGATTAGCATCCCAACACCTAACCCATAGTGCCACCAGCACTCCTTATTCTGTCCTGTGTCGTTGTTGTTGTTAAGTGCCATCAAGTGGGTTCTGACTCATTGTGACCCTGCGTAGGTTTCCGAGGAGCGACTCACTCGTGAGTTTGAACTGCCGACCTTCTGGTTGGTTAACAGTGCAGTGCTTTTCCTACAGCTCCACACCAGGACTCCACTCTGTCCTATAGGGTCGTCATATTCTGCTGTTATCCGCAGGATTTTCATCAGCTAGCTTTCAGGAACAGGTTGCCAGAGTTATCTTACTATTATGTTCCAGTCTGAAAGCTCCCCTGAGACATATTTACCATGGGTCACCCTGCTGGTGTTTCTCTGCTATTCGTAGAGTTTTCAGTGACTAGCAATTCGGAAGTAGTTCGTCACTCTTTCTTCCTAGTCTGGAAGCTCATCTGAAACCTGTCCACCATGGGTCACCCTGCCGGTTATGTAAAATACCGGTGGCATAGCCCTCAGAATCACAGCAACTCAAGCCACCACAGCACGACAGACAGACGAGAGGTGGCCATTTGGTTTTATGTCGAAACTGTCACTTTAAATTTCGATATCAATCCTGATACAATCAAGATACAATCAAGATGCTCTCTCCTGATACTATCAATCCTGATACAATCAAGATGTTCTCTCTCAAGATGGCGGCTCCAGGAATAGCTGAGTGTCTTGAACCAGAATATGATGAATTTCTAGATTCTCCTGCAAATTCCCCAGCTGTAAACCCTCCAATCCTCCATACATACCCCAATGAGATGGATCGGCCAGGTGGCATCATTGATGGGCTCAAGTGTGGCAGTGGTAGTGAGGTTGGCCCAGGATTGGATATTGTTTAGTTCTGCTGTGCATGGGGTCGCTATGAGTCGGTTCCGACTCGATGGCACCTGACAACAACAACCCTGCTGGTATTTGAAATACTGGTGGCATAGCTTCCAGCACCATAGCAACACACAAGCCACCACAATATGGACAAACACAGACAGGTGGTAGTTTTTACTTAAAAGTGTGTATTTTGTGCCACTTTTTCTTAAAGTGTATTAACTCATTTAATTGTTCACAACATCCTTCTGAGGTCTTGAGTAAGCTGTGCATTGGGATTGGAACCCAGGAAGTTTGTTTTGATTCACATTATACAAGATCATGCCACCAGGGAGGGCATTGGAGTCCCTGCACTCTCAATCACCCACACTGTGCAGCTTTAATTCTGGCTGCATGAATCCATGCCCAGGTGGCTGTAGGTAGACTGTGCTCACCGTCTGGCACCTGGGGGGTGTTCTACCAGGCCCTGACTATGCCCTCTCCTTCTCCTCCCTTCCTCTCCAGATGTGGATGTCCTCCAGCGGCTGGGCCTCAGTGGGACGAAGGTGGCAGGTGGGCGGAGCCCTGCACCCCTGGGGGTCATTCCATTCCAGTTGGGGTTCATCTTCACACAGCGGGCCCGGCTTCAGGCGCCCACATCCTCTGTCATTCCTGCCACCCTGGGCACAGAGCTAGCGCTGGTGCTGAGCCTCTGCTCCCATCGGGTGAACCATGCCTTCCTCTTCGCTGTCCGAAGCCGGAAGCACAAGCTGCAACTGGGCGTGCAGTTCCTCCCCGGCAAGACGGTCGTCCACCTGGGACCCCGGCGCTCTGTGGCCTTCGACCTTGATGTGCATGATGGGCGCTGGCACCACCTGGCCCTCGAGCTCCGTGGCCGTACGGTCACCCTGGTGACAGCCTGTGGGCAGCACCGGGTTCCTGTTCCACTGACTTTCCACCGGGACCCAGCGCTCGACCCCGAGGGCACCTTCCTGTTCGGGAAGATGAGTCTGAGTGCGGTCCAGTTTGAAGGTGCCCTGTGCCAGTTTAGTATCTACCCTGTGACGCACGTTACCCATAATTACTGCACCTATCTGAGGAAGCAGTGTGGACAGGCTGCCATGTACCGGCCCCAGCTGGGACCTCTCTTCCCCCGGGACTCTGGTTCCCCCTTCACCTTCCGGACCAATCTCCCAGTGCTGGGTCTGCAGAACCTGACGACTGTTGCACCAGCTCTGAGGTTGCGGCCAGTAGGCAAGGAGGCCAAGGTGACTGTGGTACCCACCCCACCCACTAAGTCTCTAAAGACTAGTACCATGGGCCCTCCCCAGCATGCCACAGCCGGGGGCCCAGCCTGGACCCCACTGCCACCTGCTAAGCTATTGGCCAGTCACACTAGTCCTCCTAGACCCCTGTCCTCTCTGACCAGCATGGCCAGAGCTCCCCGCCCTGCAGCACCACCTGCTCAGCTATCAGGGAAGAGCACAGATACCCAAGTCCCCAAACGCCTCCCAACTGAGCCTTCTACCCCTTCTCCTTCAGTTGCCCCTGTCAAAACCTCACGTCCCACCCAGAAGGCAGCTCCACCCTCCTTCCCAGTGTCGGCCCCATCCACTCAGAAGCCAGTGACACCTACTTCCCGCTCACATCCTGCTGCAGTGAGGTCGTCTCAGAGGAGTCCCCGAAAACCCAGCACCCAGCCCCTACCTGCTGCCATTCTCTCGTCCAAAAAACTCTTTCCCGCAGTGACTCAGACCAAGGCCAAAATGACCAGTCACGCCAGTAAGCCAGCCCCTGCCTACACCAGCACACATAAACCACCCCAGCCCACTGTTTTGTCCTCATCTGTTCCCAGTCCTGACTCTACCAGGACCCCTGGGCTACCAGCCACAGTGGTGCCTCCAATGTCAGGCACCAGAACTACCACAACGGTCCCTCCTGCTTCAACCCCCATGAGAAGCAAGAAGCCCACTGGATCAGAAGCCACCAAGAAAGCCAGACCCAAGAGCAACCCCCAGGATCCTGTTCCCTCAAGATCTGAGAAGACAGCCAGGGATACCCAGTTGAACAAGCCGATAACCCAGCCTAGCCCCAGACAGCCCAGTCAGCGGACCACCCCGGCCCCAGCACTGGCCCCAGCTCGATTCCTGTCATCCAGCCCTCGGCCCACTAGCAGTGTCTACTCATTCTTCCATCTAGTGGGGCCCACATCTTTCTCCCTGCTGATGGGGCCTCCAGGACCCAAGGGAGACTGTGGTTTGCCGGTAAGATATGGTGGGGTCTGCATGCTGTTTGGTGCTCGAGTGAGTGACTGGGGTGGGCTGCCCAAGTGCTCCTGGGAAGGGCTGGGCAAAGAACTCAGAGCAGGGAACTCGAACCCTCTGCCTTTGCTCTCTCCATTCTTGCACATTCTGCCTCGCTTCGTCGTCCTCTGGACTGAGTGCTAACAACGTAACTGCCTTAATGAATGTGATGAACTTGTTCTGGCCACACTGAGCCAGGCTCCAAAGCCCGACTCTTCTGCTTTAGGAGCAGAGCCTCATCTGTCCTGACTGTCTGTCTGGGAGTTCTGGACAAAGGTCCCACGTAGGTAGCCCTGGATATGTTTGAGTTGGCACATGCAGTGTTCTTTTTCTTTTAAATCAGTTACTAGCATTTAAACAATGTGAGAGATTTCTTATACAAGACATAATTCTCTTACAAAGTGAGGAAATACAGACTGTAGGCTGTGGCGGGACCAGGCTGCCACTTTAGACAGCATCCGTCTGCTCCGTTAGCTCTGAACTCGCTGCTCCTTCCACGTGCCTGGCGCCTGGACGCATCTGATTTGTGGCCCTGGGGACAGGAGTTTGGGACAGAAAGGTCGGGGTAGGCTGGGGTGGGCAAAGAAAGGCTCAGGGAAGAACAATATCTGCAGGGAGGGGCTCAGGGTCTGTCAGTGCCTCTGGCCTGTTGGGCTGTCTCCATGGGCAACAACCTTTACACAGCTGGGTGCCAATTCTTCAGGGTGGAGTTCCCAGAAACCCCCAGCCGGGCTCTGTGTTCCTCCCCTTTAGAGGTTAACGCTACACAACTGCCTTACGCTCTGCCACCGGCCTCAGAGTCTGAGGTTAGGACTCTGCAAAGTAGACAGTGGCGGGTATTGGGAATTCCAGGGTTTTCCAAACGCACTTAATTAGTTTTAATAATCATTAAGAATAATATTTATCCAGCCTGTCTCCAAGGGGACTGAGAGTCCACTTTTATTGTAACCATATTGTAAGACTTATGGAAATTGTGTGCATTGCTTTGCAATTATGTCAACGGTCTCTCGAGTCCTGTGTTCTGAAATTGGCAGAGTAGAGAGTAGGGAACTTCCACTTTTCTGAGGGGAGAACGAGGAAACCTTACTATCCTTGCAGGCTGCCACCCTGTCCCTGGCACCAAGTGCCTCTGGGCCTTGATAGCTTACCTCACCCAGCAGTGTGAGCATTGACCTCGCTGTGCTGTGGGGTCGAAAGAGGGTAAATTATCCAGACAGAGGATGGTAAGGTTCAGGGTCTAGACCCCAGCCCCACGGTGTATCCCCGTGGAGGGGAGGAGGCCAACACTGCCTCCCAAGGCTGTGTGTGTCATGGAAAGAGAAGATGCTGTCCAGGCAAGCAGATCGGAGCAGGAGTGGTATTTCCACAGTCCTTCTTTGTGACCTGATGCTCTGGGTCAGGGTGAGGGGATGCCTTCCTCCAGCTCACCGCCAGGAAGTGATGTCTTCCTCCAGCTCACTTTGCGTTTCCTCCATCACCAAAGAAGGCACAAGACTTGACCAGTTCACACCACTGATTCTTAGGGGCTGTCTAGTTCAACTCCTCTCATTGGGTAGGTGGGGAGACTGGAGACTGTGCCCAGAGAGGACAGGACTTTCCCAAGGTCACACAGCTGTAGCTTGCACCCCAGCTTGGACCCCAAGACAAGTGCCATCCATTCCAACTGGCTGAGTGTCCATCCTCTGAGGGCCTGGGAGGGCTATAGCAGTGAGCCAGGCCTTGTCCCTGGGACTTTGTGTCTAAAGAATCTTTTGTTTTGACAAGCTGTCAAGTTTAAGAACTACTTTTGCATGTGTGGGTCCCTGACTTGTAGGGAGGCTCAAGGCACTCCCTGCTTCTGCTGCCCCTGACCTGCCAGGGTGGCATTCTGGTCTCCAGCCTCTTCACGCTCCCCCCAGCTTGGATCCCAGCCTTACTCCAATATGAGCCAAGAAGTTTCTAGAAACTTTGTCCAGTTCACTGTGTGCCAAACTGGTCATTTGTTTTCTCCAGATAGCAGAAGTAGTATAATAATTGAAGTGGCATCTTTGGCAGCAGCGAGGTAATCTCCACTTCTTTCTGTCTTCCCTTGTCCAGGGCCGTCCCTCTGTTTAGCGTTGAAGCCCAACAGAGCGGAAAGTGTGTTGCCCAGGGATAAGCCGATCTGGCTCAGATTCAGACTCCACCACTTGCTAGCTCTGTTGCCTTGGCCCACTGAGTCCCAGTTTCTGTCGAATGTAAGATTATAGTCATTCCCATTTCCCATGTTCAGAAATGAGAATTTGCATAGAACACTGTAGTAGAAGGTCAGCGGAAAAGAGAGACGACATCTCCCCCCTCCCCAATGAGATGGATTGACACAGTGGCTGCTACAATGGGCTCAAACTTAACAGCAATTGTGAGAACGGTACAGTATCAGGCAGTGATTCATTCGGTTGAACATGAGTTGCTATGAGTTGTAATCGGCTGCAGAGTACCTAACAACAACAGAGGAGAAACAATTACGATCTTTTTCAGGACCACCTTAGGTGTCTAGTTTAGCTGAGTGACTTCTAGAAGCTTTTTTATCTCCTTGGGACTGTCACCCAGTCTGTTAATCTAGGTTAGAACACTTTATCTCTAGCTAATCATGGGGACTGTTCTATGTCCCAGGAGACTGCACTGGAGATACCTACTCTGTGTAGTTCCAGAGGGGCCAGGAGAATTTGAGACTCGGTTTGGGACTGAGGCCTGCCAGCATATAAGAGCCTCAGCTCTGTGGAAGCCCCAGGCGTGGGGGAAGCATGGAAAAGCTGAGCCTGGGCCTGGGAGTGCTGGGGCGGGGAGGCTACAGCTCACAGAAGCTGCCCAGTAGCCACACAGGAGCCCCACGCCCGCGAGGAGGCAAGTCAAGACCTTATTTATTCTCCATCAGGCTGTTGGCATTTGCACTCGCCTGCTGCGAGAGTCACCCAGAGAGACCACAGCAGATGGGCCGTGACTATCTGGGAAATGCAGCCTTACAAAAACCAACTTGTTCTGACTCCCAGTCCAGGCTCCATGTGGTTATACAGAGCTCTCTTACCAGTGGTGGTGAGAGGGAAAACACAGACTTTGGAGTTAAATGACCTAGGCTGCAACCATTCTCTTATTCATCCATCCTGTCACTCTTTTAGCCAATGTTTATTAAGTGCCTTCTCAGTGCCTGGTGCTCTGTGACTTTGGGGAGGTAACCTAACTTCTCTGAGGCTATTACTATAAAGTGGGGTTGCTGGGTGGATTCAGTGAGATGAAGGCTGGAAAGCAACCTGCAGTAGAACCTGGGTCCTGGCGACCTTTGTGGCTGTGATTATGACCATTGTTACATGAAAAGCATCAGGAGGGGCTGGACATCATTTCACATTTATTGGGAGAGTTGTTTTATGAAATGAGCTTTTCCTGTGGAGCTCGAGGCCCTGGAACTGACATGGGACAGGTCAGTGTGGAAGGGATAGCATGGCGCCTTGATGGCTTAGAGCATTGTGACAGATGTCAGCTGGGATAAGAGGGGCTGTGAGGCAAAACTTACCCTACCTTTTCCTCATCTGCACCTGTGGCTTCACTCTCAGTTCCTGCATGTGTTTTCATTTGTCTGTTTCCCCCTGGTAGCCCCATCCCAGGACATGGCTGGAAGGGCCTCTCTTAGTGTCCCCAAGGCACTGTAAATTGGGACCAGATCTTGAGAAATTCATCCCTCAGATGGGCATCACCTAGAACCTATAGAAGATGCTTCGTCTTTAGGAGATCATTTTTGAGCACATACTGACTGTGTATTAGTTACATCCTGGGGTAAGCAGTGGTCCAGGGCACTAGAGAGGAGTTTATGGGAGGGATGTTTACAGACAGGCAGGCATCAGAATCCTTGGGTGGTACACACGGTTTGTGCTGAACTACTAACCTCATAGTTGACGGTGTGCTGTGGGAAAAGACGTGGCATTCAGCTTCCGTAAACATTGCTCAAGACAATCTTATGGAGCAGTTCTTCTTACTGTCTAACGTGGCGGCAACAGTTTGGTTTTGTTTTAAGCATTAAAGGACCTGACGGGCCAGTGAAACATGGGATCTAGCAACAGTAGACCTGAAGGCCCAAGAGGAGGGGAAGGTGTTTCTAGAACCCAGTGAGAGTTAAACCTCCAGCAGGAGTTGGGGGTCACAGCTTCTGCCAAAGCTTCTGTCAAAGCAAGGCGGGGAGGGACCCCCAGGTATAAATCCCTGTCCCCTCTTTCCCTCTGTCCTCCACACTCTTTCCAGAGCCTTCTATAGGCCATACCCAATTGGAGGCCAAAGGGCAAGGAAGCCCCAGGGTGCAGTCTCAGTGGTCAGCTTCCCAGGGCCCAGAATGGATCTGGGGAACAGATGATGGGACTCTTTGAAGATGAATATTGCATGTGCATGTTACAGATGGTGAAGCTGAGGGGCCCAGAGTGTTGAACCAACTCGTGCAAGGCCATGCAGAACTAGATTCACACCCAGGGAGGCTCTGCCCAAGCAGGTCCTACCTTAAGACAGAGACTAGGACAGGCTTAGCTCCTTCTCCTACTCCTGGGAGTATTCTTGGGAGTAACCATAGATTTAGATGGCTAGAGATGGGAGGCTATTTGAGATCCTAGGCTACAGGCAGGGAGCAGAAGCGCAGAGATCAAAAGGTCATTGCTCAGGGCCCCATGGCATTTAGCAGCACGCCAGGACAAGCCCCTGGTCTCCCACATCTCAGGCCTGTGAACTCTCCCGTTGCTGATTGCCAGGGAAGATGCCAGCCAGGGCTTATTTCTTTGTGCAAGGTTTGGCAGATGGACTACAGCAGCTGGACACAAGGGTGGACTTGTTCCATGAGATGGGGTTCCCCGGGCCTGAATGTCCAAGACTGGGACCCTTGAGGGAAGCCCAGAGGAACTGCTTGGCTGTTTCCATGGTGTGGTTTGCGTGAGCCAAGCCCCGGCCTTCCCCCACACTCCTCCCCCAGACAGGACTTTGGCCCTCCCTCTCTGTTCTGGGCCCTCTCAGAGGCCCCGTTGTTTGCAGTGTGGAGTGGAAAATCCCACCCCGGCCTCGTGAATCATCCCAGAGTCACCCGCTCAGGCTTTGGGCCCTGGAAAGAAATGGCAGCGTTTTTCCACTGAGAAAAATAGGCAGGGTCTCCAATCAAGGGAGAGGGGGCATGGGGCGACTGCCCTCGCTCAGTCGCTAACAAAGTGAGCACTGAGTGGGGAAGGGTCAGGTCTGGAACTGGGTGGCAGGGGGCCCAGCCCAGGTCGGTGGAGTGTCCAGGATTGGCCAGTCACTGTGGGGGCTGGGCTGCCATGTCGAGGAGTCAGGCCGTGGTCTGACATCACCAGTCCAGGCTGTGGGCTCTGACTGGCACCGGAGTCTGCTCTGCAGATGTTGTGGATGAGGTCAGACTCCAGCCTGACGCCCCCGTTTCTGGGGCAAAAGAAATGCCAAGAGGGAGTATCCAGGCCTCTGCAGCTATAGTCCCAGCAGGGCCCACGAAGGAGCTACGCCCACGGAGCCTGACCCTCCAGGGGAGGCCTGGACACCCCACTTCCTCACCGTGACTGGCTTCTCTTTTGTGAAGTGAAAAGGATTTCAACTGTCCTTTCCTACCTGGTGTCCTGGAAGAGGAGGTCACCCCCTGCCCTGCAACTCAGGACATGGCAGTGCTGGGCCACTTCCATGGATGTTCATTTCACGGATGGTTATGTGAGAAGGGACTGACCCAAGGTCACACCGAATCTGAGACACATCTGACCAAGATTCTCTGGAGAGTGAAAGCTAGATGTGGTCCTGGTTTTGAATCTAGCTGTGTGTCCTTGAGCAAGTCACTTTGCCTCTCTGAGCCTCCCCCTGGTTTCTCACCTGTTAAAAGAATATAGTAATGATAGCATTATCTACAGTGGTGCCTAGCCTTGCTGTTATTAGCTGCTGCTGAGTTAGACCTCCCACTCATGGTGACCCCACTTCTGCAGATCAGTGCAGATTGGACTGTTGAGATCCACAGGGTTTTCATTGGCTGATTTTTGGAAGTAGATCACCAGGCCTTTTTTCCTGGTGTGTCTTAGTCTGGAACCTCCACTAAAACCTGTTCTGTATCCTAACAGCACATAAACCTCCATGAACAGACAGATAATGGCTGCACATGAGGTGCCTTGGCTGGGAATTGAACCCGGGTCTCCAACATGGAGCCAAGAATTCCACAGCTGAACCCCTACTGTCCCAATGCTTGGCCATAGCCCCCAATATTCCCCCTTAATTCTGGGTCATGTGGGAAATTTGGGTCAACAAGGGCCTTCTGGGAATGAGCAACTTTTTGTTGTTAGGTGCTGTCAAGTCATTTCTGACGCACAGCAATCCTGTATAGGGTTTCTGAGAAGCAGCTGGTGAGTTTGAACTGCCTACCTTGAGGCTCAAACTGACCTTGCAGTCCAGTGCTTAATCCCATAGCACCACACCAGTACTCTTCCCCAAAAAACAAGGAGGGGAGAGCTTAAAGCGTGAATAAGGAAAGTTGCAGAAACCACAGCATTAACTGTGCCAAGCACTTTTTATAGATTATTTGTTAGCTATATGCTACTGTTATCCTCATTTTACAATGGAAGAATCAGAGGCACAGAGACCAGAGCAACTTGCCCAGAGTCACACAGCTAGTAAGAGGGATGTACACTTTGAGCCCAGTCTTACACTCGTACTCTACTGCTCCCCATCAAAGCCAGCCACAGAAGTGAATTGTTAACCTGCAGGATGGTTATAGAGACTAGAGACTGGCCACCTGAGCTCTGGAATGCTGCCACCACTTGCTTGAGGCCAGGAAATGGCCCCCTCCCTACACCCCGGCCTCAGTGTCCATATCTGTCTGTCAGGATCTCTTCTTTGAATTATATTCATGGACGAGCAAGCACGTGATGTTCACAGGCCGGAACTGTGAGCAGAGGCTGCCCAGCATGAGATCTGGATTAATTACCAGCCAAACCGTACTGGGTTTTCAACACCGATTTTAACTCTGGGCAGGAAACCTGGAATCTCGTTGATGGTTATTTGAAACAAATGAATTCCCCAGGCCTCACACATCCTCGAAAGCCTGGCTTCCTCTGAAGGCTCCACGCTTCACATCCAAGCAAAGCGCTTTGTTGATTCTCACTCACTCTTTCGAGGTAGATGGGGCAGTAGCTGTTAGGCCCATTGTAAAGGGGAACAGCTGAGGCAAACTTGCACAAAGTCCCCAGCTATTAAATGGCAAAGCCAGATTTTGGACACAGGCCAGCCCACAATTTAGTAAGTCTGTTTAGCTTTCTCTCTTTAGAGAGATGGGGCCAGAGATGAAGGGAAGAGAGATGTGGCCAGGCACATGCTTTTTGAATGCTGTGCTGCATTCAAAGAAAGGTTAGGCTTTTTTGTGTGTGTGGGAACTGGGAGTCTCTTGACATTGTTGAGAGCAGGAGACTGTGTAAAGGAGAGCTAGAGGGGAAGGGGAGAGGCTGTTACAGGAGTTAGGGGCGGAGTGATGAAGGTTGCTATAACAGATGGAACACTGGAGTGCCAATTATGCCATGCACCGTGTTAAGCATTTACTGCTATCTCTTGTTTCATTCTCATGATGATCCTTGTTGTTAAGTGCCATCGAGTTGGTTCCCAATCATAGCGAACCTGTGCAGCATTTCCGAGTAGCGGCCAGTGAGTTTGAACTGTCGACCTTGTGGTTCAGTGCATTAATCTACAGCACACACCAGGACTCCATGATGATCCTTGGAGGGGGATATTATTATTCCCATTTGACAGGCACAGGCTGGTTAAAGAACTTGCCCAAGTCGAGTTAGTAAGTGGCAACATTGGGATTTGAACCAAGACCTCTCAAAAACCTGTGCATATAACCTCTATGCTCTTCTGTCTTTCCTTGGTGCAAAGATGCTTAGCATGACCTTGGACAAGTCCTTTCTGTGCTCTGGCTTGTAGAAAACTTGGCTAAACTTTGAGAGAAAACTTGGTTAAATTCTGAGGTCTCTTCCTGTGTCATACCCAGTTGGTACCTTTGAGGAGACCATGGTCTGGTGGGACAGATGGGGTTATAAGCAAACAAATAACATTAAAAAATTAAAAACAAACCTCCCAAATCCTCACTGCCACTGAGTCAATGCTAATGCATGGCGACCCTGCAGGGCAGAGGAGAACTTCTCCTTAGGGTTTCCCAGGTTGTAAATCTTTACAAGAGCAGACTGCCACATCATTTTCCTGCTGAGTGATTGGTGAGTTTGAATTGCCAACCTTGAGGCGAGCAGTCTGATGGTTATACTTCCATGTCACCAGGGCTCCTTAGATGACAATATAGTGGCCTTGCCTCGGAAACCCTGTACAGGGTCATTATGAGTCAGAACCGACTCCGCGGTACTTAACAACAACCACAAAGTAGCGGGGAAGAGTAGACTTGGGCTACATTGGAGAAGCAGTCAGAGAAGCCTTCTTGAAGGCGGTGACATCCTAACTCAGTGGTGAAAAAAAAATGAAGGCTTCAAAGATTGAGAAATAGGTGCTAAGGTCTGAAAGCCCCTAAGAGTGTAACTTCCTCAGGACAAAGACATTAAGGGCTCTTCTCAACCTTGGGGCTTTCATACCCAGGCATCCGGATGGATTTGTTGAATGAGTTGAGAGTTGAATGGTGTCTTCTTACTTTCTCTTCAGGGTCCCCCTGGGCTACCCGGGCTACCTGGAACCTCTGGTGCACGAGGGCCTCGGGTAAGTAAGTGGTCACACACAGTCCTGTGGAGCTCTGGTGGGTTCTCCACTGCCCCTGAAATCCAAGCCTTGCTGTGTGTCCACAGGCTGTTCCCTGCCCCTCGCTGGCCTCTAGTTTTGGCTTTGTCCAGTGGTGGACTTGGTGCTCTTTGCTGGTGGATGCTGTGGACAGACAGGACCTGGTACAATGATGACCTCCTGTAAGGTCTCAGTTGTCCACTGTGGGTGGGGCCCTTGGCCACCTGGGGTGGGTGAGGTTCTGCTGAAGACCATGCCCCCTGAGCTGAAGAGCCCTTTTTCCAGGATAAAAGCTGACTTGGGAGCACATGGCTCTTACAGCCATCTTTCCATCTCTGCATGCCCACATAGGGATGCATGCCACACATCCCCACATAGTAGGGATGCCCACATAGCCCTGTTTTGCAAGTTCTACCCAAGGCTGGAGGTGAGCTTGCCAGGGCCACCGTGGTTAATGTGACCTAAGCTGAGCCTCAGAGTGGACAGTATGGCAAAGTTGGCTCTGAAAATAACCCCTCTGTGTTGTGCTTTGCACATGCTAGAACCCTCATGGACCGGGCTGTTCATCCTCATGTTAGGAGTGAGGAAATGGCACATCCAGGAAATGGCAAAGTCAGGATTCGAACCCAGGCTCTTAATCATGCTGGGTCCCTTAAGGGACCCCTTGGACAAAAGTCTGCCCTATTTCTCCAGAAGGCTCAGACCCCTGGCACCTGGCATATGTACCCAGGCAGAATCAGCCTTTCCCACACAGGCTGCTGGCAGAGGTAACTGCCTCTGGCATATTTTTAGCTCTGGACCCAGTCGATGGTTCTGGTTATGCAATTACCCAAGCTCTAGTTCTCTCCAGACCTGGCCTTGTACTCCCTGGGCCCAGAGCTCAGGAGTCTGCTGTCTGAACAGCATTTTCTCCTGACTTCAGAGCTTCCATGGAACACATGGCCAAAGCCAGGGGTCATTTAGGTATCACGGATACTGCTGGCCCTGAGACCTTGTGGCCTGGGTCCAAGATGACGGTCCTAGACCTGGTGTTCTAGTCCCCCTGTGTCTGCCCCTGTTCTCAAACTCTTCCTGTGCCAACCAGCCTCTGCACCTTTGCTTAAGCTGCTCTCTCTACCTAGCATGCAAAGCCCTCCTCCATGGCTCAGATCAAATGCCACCATCTTTCCTGATTATCACTCCCTTCTCGGAGCTCCTTGAGGCAGTCTGTCTGTCCCTCTGGGTGACACAGATCACTCTGTGAATGAAATTGACCACTGAGGTGTGTTTGCTGAGCTGCACACATGTGATTCCAGTTAATCTTCCCAGACATCCTGAGAAAGAGGTTCTAATACTATCCCTATTTTATAAGTGAGGACACAGAGACTCAGAAAAATTCAGTTATGTTGCCTAAGGTCATAGGATTGAATCCAGGCTGTCTGGTAGATTCCAGAGGCTACAATCTTAATCATCTAGTGTGCTGAATTTTAGTTTACTCAACTAAGTCCCTATAGGAAGAGAACAGACCTTGCTTACTCTTCTTTTGCATGATGCCTAGCAGAGTGGCCTGCATGTGTGATAGGTGCTGGGAAAATGGTTGTAAACATTTCTAGTCTGGAAATCAAGAACATTTGCATCAAAAAGGTGTGTGGACTTAGACACGCCCCTTCCCTTCTCCAGACATCAGTTTCCCCATCTATAAAATTGGGGATTACGGTAAGGCATTCCCATGGTTCCTCCCAGCCCTGAAATTCCACAAGTAAGTGAATGGCTCTCCTGACATCCTTTTCGGGCTCTCTGCCTGCACCCCCACCCTCGTCATCCTGTTTCTAGACTAGAAATTCCATAGATCACAGAATTCCAAAGATAATAGAACATCAGGGTTAAACAATCCCAGCTCCTCTGCACAGACAGCGGACTCAGGGAGAGACAAAGCCTTCCTTACCTGCGGTCACCCAGAGCGACAGGCACCTTTCTGCCTCCACACACTCCCCTGGGCCGTGCAGGGATGTTAAGGAATCCCCGAGCCCTCCTTGAGCCCTACTTTCTGGGCTGCAGCATTTATGGAATCAGTCTGCTTGGCTTCCAGTCAACTATGTGCCTCACTTTTCTGCAAGGCAGTGTCTAGAAAGGGGTGGGAGGTGGGGCAGGGAAGCAGAAAGTCCTCACCTTCCCCAGCTGTAATGCTCTAGCCCACCATCTGTGGGGCAACTGGGGGCATGATTGAGAAGTGTCTGGTTCAGGTAGCTCTCCTTATACACCCCTGCTCAACGCCTGCCGACTCAACCCAAACTCTGAGGCTAGACCCTAGGAGCCTGTCTGGGGTGAACATCCCAGGTCTTCCGGGCTCTTTAAAGACTACTGGACCCAAGCCACTCCTCCAACAGATGGGGAGACTGAGGCCTGAGGGGTGAGTGTTAGAACTGGGACTAGGTTTTGGCATTTTCATGCCACACCCATATGCCAGGAGACAATGGTCAGTGGGATGCTGGGAGAGGGCAGCCAAAATCATTGAAACCAAGTGGGCTACAACTCAGTGACCTTCTAGAAGAAAGTAGAACGGTTCCCTAGTGTTTCCAAGACTAAATCTATGGGAGCAGACGGCCTCATCTTTTTCTCGCTGAGTGGCTGGTAGATTTGGCACTCAGACCTTGAGGTTAACAGCCCAAACACTTAACCCACGGCACCACCAGGGTTCCTTGGGAGTGGGTGGAGCAGCCAGTTCTTTTCGAGGGAGGGTCACACATGACACTGGTATGCGTTAAACATCCTTCTTTCTCGCCACATTTGGAGAAGGGGAGGGTTCTAGTTCAGGCATGGAGGAAGAGGGAGGTGCCTGGGTTGGAATGTGACAGACTGCAGCTGGGAAGTTGGCTTCCGAGCAGGAGGAAGGAAGCAAGTTCATACATGGTGAGCCAGATGAGTCTAGAGGAGCCAGGGATGAAGGCTGTGTGTCAGAGACTGGTGTGCTGAGGGGATGAGTGCACCCCTTTTAGGTGCCTCTTCCCACCCCAGCACTCCAGATTATTTCCTGAGTCATTTGTCTGCTGGGCAAAGACCCTCGGGCATTTGTTGTTAAATGCCATCCAGTCAGTTCTGACTCACAGCTACCCTGTATAAGGTTTCCAAGGAGCGCCTGGTGGGTTTGAGCCTCTACCTTGTGGTTCCTTCAGTTCCTTGTGCTTATCCTACAGTGCCACATCAGGACTCTTAGGGCTCTGTTTATACTACTGGTCCTTGTTGCAGAAAGTGGACGTGAAAGAAGCCAGCTGTTGTAGGAGGACTCAGATATGGCCTGGGAAAATCCAGCACCATGAATAAGCTCTGGACTTCTAGCCAACAGGCTCAGGTCCTAACCCTCACTTGGCCATGACTCTGCTGTGTGACCTTAGCCAAGATTCTTGGACTAGTTAGGTCCAGTCTTCCCAGCTGCTCTGTGGTCTTTTGAGAACTTGGAAGCTTGGCGCTTGTAAGAGTCTAAAGGAGACTTCTACTGCATGTTATAGCAGCAGGAGAGTGTGCCTTAGTCTAGAAGAGGTCAAATGCACCCTTCATTGACCTCTGCACTCATATTAAAGTCCAGTTGGAGAGGCTACTCTAGGCAGGAGAAACCCAAGAAGTTTTCCTGGAGGAGGTGTCGTTTGAGCCAGGCCTTGAAGAATGGGAAAGACATTCTAGATGGTGGAAACAGCATGAGCAGAGGTGATGAGAGGAAAATGCCAGGTGCATTGGGCAGGAGAATATAGCTAAGTGTGGGTAGACACTGAGCAAACAAGTGCGGGAAGGGCTGATGAGTGAAGAGGTGGTAAAACTCCAGGTAAGAACTTGCACTCCACTCTGAAATCAGACAGATAAGAGGTTGAGGTCCAGCTCCACCTCCTTAGTAACTGGGTGACCTGAGACAGTTAGAAAGCCTCTCTGGTCATCAACTTCCTCATCTTCAAAATAGATTAATAATAGTGTGTAGGCTGCAGGATAATGTGCTGGACTGCAATGTTGGTTTGAACCACAAGGTCAGTGGTTCAAACCCACCAGCTGCTCCTTGGAAACCCTACACAGGGTTGCTTTGAGTTGGAACCAACTTGATGACACTTAACAACAACAACCTTGTAGGTTGATAAACCCTACTGCCACGAGTCTATTCCAACTCATAATGATCCTATGTTGTTGTTATGTACCATGGAGTCGGTTCCGACTCATAGCAACCCTGCTGCACAGGGTTTCTGAAGCTGTAAATCTTTACGGGAGCAGAAAGCCTCATCTTTCTCCCGTGAAATAGCTGGTAGTTTCAAACTGCCGACCTTGGGCTTAGCAGCCTGATTTGTAACCACTATGGGACCAGAGCTCCTTATAGTGATCCTATGGCAGGGTAAAACTGCTCCATAGGGTTTTCAAGACTGGGAATCCAGCACAGACAGCCTCATCTTTCTCCTTTGGAGTGACTGGTGGGTTTGAAACACTGACCTTGTGGTTAACAGGCTAACGTTTAACCCATGGTGCCACCTTAGTTGGTGGTCAGGATACGGATGAGATGACACATGCAGAGTGTCCAGCACAGATCCTGGCATCGCGGCACCAGACGCCAGGACAGAACCTGCAAGCAAAAGGAAGTGAAGGAGGCGGGCATTGCTACAGGAAGTGGGATGGCCCCTCTTTTCTCTCACCTGTTTGTTTTTCTTCCCTTTCAGGGTCTTCCTGGGCCTTATGGAAATCCAGGTCTCCCAGGTCCCCCTGGAGCCAAAGTAAGTATCTGCTGTGGGGTCTGGGGTCATGGCCAGGGAGTGGGTGTGGGTGCCAGATCTAGGGTGTTGCCTGGGGGTCCTGGTGGGAGACTCTCAGGTCTCATGTGGGATTCCTGTCCATGCTATAGGCACTTCCGGAGTAACTTCCAAGTGTGAGGTTCTGGGCTGGGCTGGAGACACAGTGAGGAATCATGAGTTTAGTTTCTGGTTGGGGTGGGGGTGGGGTGCTGGAGGGAGCAAGTTAGTTGGAAAGAAAGGAACTTGATGCTGAATCAGTGTGTGTGTGTGTGTGTGTGTTTGTGTGTGTGTGTGTGTGGTTGAATGTCAGACTAAGGATGTAAGGTTTACTGGGCTGTAAGGTGCATCCCGGGGAAGGACATGGGAAGACTGTGTTTTAGAAAGATCCATCGATGCCATGTGGAGGGAGGATGGATCCATGTGGGAAGCAGAGCAGAGACAGGGAGACCAGGGTGATTCAGGCAAAGGCTAATTTAGTGAGGGAAGGGAGAGAAGTGGGTACAGTCACCATATGGAGGTGGGCTGCAAAGAACGAAGAGATGGGTGAGAGGTGCATGTGAGGGAGTGTGGCTGGCATAGGCTGAGCTGGGTGACTAACCTCAGACCCCGGAGAAGGGATCAGGTGATGTTGCACTGGGGAACTGTAGACAGCCCATGTGCCGATCATTCTGGGGACAGACATTCTGAAAGTCAGGCAGATTCTGAGCTGGAACTAGAGCCTCAGGGGTGGCCAGCCCAGAGTTAGCTATAGGCTCCCATGTCCCCTCCCCAAGGAACCTTCTTGGAATACTCCAGCTGACTGATAGATGAGACTCAAGTAGATGTGCTCTGATGATTATGGGTAACTCTCCATCCCCCCAGCTCGTCAGTCATCTCAGGCTGAGGGTGGGGAATAGGCAAGGACTTCCTGAGCGGGAGTGTAGAGTGAGCTCAGAGGACCAGGAGGAGAGCCCGGGACACACCATTCAGGCCACTGGGAAAAGACGTCTCAAGGAATGGCTGGAGGAGGGAAAGAAGTGGAAGGTCAAGGCAGCTAAGAGACTGTGCCAAAGGAATGAGGGCCAGACCAGGAAGGGGCAGGGGGACTTTGGGTGAGGAAGTCCTAGAGCCCAGTCTGTGCTACACGTGGGGTCCTCTGTGGGCTCCACATGGTCAGAATGTGGGTACATTGCCTTGGACAGAGCTGCTGGAGCATCAGCCTCAGCCACTGAAGGTCCCTGACTATATGGTGAGAGCTGACTGCAGACGCCCCTGAAAGACAGGTGCTGGAAGTCTCAGGTGGTCAGCTCCTGGCAGTGCTAAGAGATGCCCTGGCTTTTAACAATGAAAATATTGGCAATAATAACCGCCATATATCAAACCTTTGGAGTTCTGGCATGGCACTGCAGGATAATGCGTTGAACTGCAAAGTCAATTTGAAACCCTATACTGGGTCATTAAGGAGCTCTGGTAGCGTAGTGGTTATGAATTGGGCTGCGAACCTTAAGGTCAGCAGTTCAAAACTACCAGCTGTTCCGTGGGAGAAAGATGAGGTTTTCTGCTCCCCTAAAGATTTACAGCCTCGGAAACCCTATGCAGGGTCACTATGAGTCGGAACTGACTCCATGGCACATAACAACAACAACTGGGTCGGAACCAACTCCACAGCACTTAACAACATTGAACCTTTCACTGTGAATGCACTTTTGATGTGCCTTGTCTCATCCAGTCCCCTAAAGACCTAAAGAGATGAGTGGGTGTATTGTGCCTGTTGGGGAAACTGAGGCAGGCTGAGACACTTGAGTCAGAGACACTGAGGATGAGCAGCTGTTTTGAATTGTTGGGCATGCTCAGGCTGGCCTGCTCTGGAGTGGGCTTGGGCCCCCCTCCCAGGCTGAACCCCTGATTCTGTGGCTGTAGATGCTCCTTCAGTGCCTTCCCTGACCCATCATGGCCCCGCTCACCCACCAAGCCCTGCAGGGCCTCAGTCCCAGGCTGTGACAGTCCCAGCCTGGCTGAAAGCCACCCCCAGACAGTCAACAGATGTGCTGAGGCCGAGAAGGCCCAGCCAACGGTGTCTCCCTAGTTTGGCAAAGCAGCTTGGGGAGTGGCAACTGTGACTTACACCTAGTGGGTGAGTCCTCAGCTACCATGTGGGTCCTGTGGGCAGTGCCTCATGGACTGGACTCCATTCTGCTTCTGCCTGTAACAAATAAGGGTGTGGCATCCGGAAAACGCACTGGATTGGGCAGTTGCTTTTCCCATGGGGATTTGGATAGCATGTCGAGGGGGAAAACCATGCCCTTTGCTTGGACTATTGTCCCTGAGCCCAGGGGTGAACAGAAGTGGCCATAGGGCAAATGTGTTGGTGGGAGGCCCAGGTCTGCCTGAGTTTGGGCCCTGAGCTACTTTGCTCTGTCATATAGCCAGGAGGGAGCTAAAGTAGGGCTCTTTGCTGAGATTGGATGAGAATGTTGTATATCTACACGAGTGGGCCTGGTTCTCGGTGAGAGTTCTCTGGGTCTGTCAATTGACCTGGTGAGATTGTAGGACTGACCTCCCTCAAGTCCTATGCTGGCCCCTCCTTTGTCAGTTTGGTGTTTGCTTCTATCTCTCCACTCTAGCCTCAGTCAGCAAATATTAATTGAGTACCTCCTATGTGTTTATGATGGAGCAGTGAGTCATACAAATGCTCAGTGTAACTCAGTCACTGGGTTACATGACCACCATTCCTTCAGTGTGTGCACAAAGTCTTGTAAGATGAAGCTCTGCCTCCCAGATACATGGGTGGGAGAGATAGGTGGGTTAAGAGAGATGGAAAAGTAGGAAAGAATGAAGGCAAGTGTCCCACAGGAGGTCACAGAGAAGTGATGACCCAAAGGACTCTGGTGGTTCACTCATAGCAGTAGGACTGTATTTGGGGTCTGCGTACTAGGAGAGTGTGTCTTGGAAGACGTACAGCCAGAATACTACTCTAGAAGCAAGGCTGGAGAGACTTTTGTCTCACATACTTTGGGCATGTATGTGAGAGACCAGTCCCTGGAAAAGGACATGATGCTTGGTAAAGTAGAAGGTCAGTTAAAAAAAAAAGATCCCTACAATATGGATTGACACAGTGGCAGCAACAATGGGCTCAAGCATGTCACTTGTGAGGATGGTGCAGGACCGGGCAGGGTTCCATTCTATTGTGCACAGGGTCACTATGTGTCAGAGCCGAGTTGATGGCATCTGGCAACAACCACCAGAAGACGCTTGTCTGGGTTCCACAGCTGGTCGTGAACCCATCTGCCTCTCCAGAGGCTGGAGCTTCTCTCATATCCCACCTTGAGGATTCTGTTAAATCCGTCAAGATGAGGGCTCCTCAGCTGCCACAGAGTAAAGATCAAGAGCTTGGAGAATGAGGCAGACATGTGGACCCTGGGAGGACAATATTGGCTGAGCTCAGAGATTCGGCGTTGATTCAGTCAATACACAATTGTGCAGGAAAGGGCTGTAGTAAGGGCACAGAGTCAGGAACCCCCTCTGTCACCTAGTTTCTGTGGCCATGGGCAAATTATTGGAACCCTATGCCTCAGTTTCCTCATCTGGGTAGCAGGGTACTAAGAAGAGTTGTTGTGAGGGGTGACTGAGCTAGTCTGTCAGTGCCTGGCTATGGCCCAAGTGCCTGGCCCCACTCTCTTCTTGGCAGCTGTCTGGTCTGTCTCTGATGTGACCTGTTTGTGATTTAATTAGCCAGGATTACTATGGCCCTGGAGTGCTGGGGGAGGGCAGGCTTGGTAACCCAGGTAACTGTGAGGAGTTGGGAGCTGAGATGGAGACAGCCCTCTGAGGTTCTCCCACCCTATCTGCCCCTGTCCTCCGATAACTGTGGTAGGACATGCACATTGAGGAAAAGTGGGGGAATATTAAAAGTAAATACTCTGAAGAATAGATAATATTACCCCATTTTGCAGATGAGGAAACTAAGGTCCAAAGAGGCTAAGTAACCTGCCCAGCTTCATATGGCTACTAAGTGGCAGAGTCAGGATTAAAACCATAAACTCTCAGATTCTAAAGACTGCTTTTTAGCCACAATGCAATTCCTGCCTCTCTAGCCATAAAGTTATCTGGTCTTGTGTTGTGTCGTGTCAGGCATTTCAGGGTGTGTTCCCGTACCTGTGGCTGGATATCTGGCCGTGTCACTTGACATTGATTGAGAGCATTGTCCTAGGTTATTACCTAGACCCCCTCCACAGACTTGGCAATGGCTGCCTGACAGTCCATCAACAGCAATATCTCATCCTGTGTGTAACCAATTTCCTTTTTAAAGAAATAGTTTCCAATTTTTCTGCTAACATATAAGTACTATCTTAGAAAACCTTCTTGTATATAAATGTTTGGGTATCTCTAATTATTTCAATGGGAACATGGTGGCTCTGGAGGATAAGCAGTGGACTGCGAATCACAGGGTCAGCGGTTTGAGCCCACCAGCTGCTTCAAGGGGGAATGATGAGACTTTCTGCTCTTGTAAAAGATTTACAGCCACAGAAACCCTCTACAGGGTCACTGAGAGTCAGAACCAACTCAATGGCACTTAACAACAATAGCTATTTCATTAGGATATATTCTTTAGAGTAGAAAGGTGATGTCAAAGGGAAGCTTAATGCAGTGGTTAGAAGAATGGACTAAGAGTTAGAAATCCTGGGGCTTTACCCCTTACTGGATAATGGTACTTACCTCAGTGTTGTTTTGAGGATTAAGTGAGATCTATACATGCTTTTATATAGATATGGATGTATATACGAGGATGAGTCAAAAATTATCCTATAATGTAACTCTGGTTATATTAAAATGCCCATCTGCGTCCCTGGCTGATAACACTGACCAAGCATGTGAAATGATTCTGTCGAATAGGCAAGTGACAGTGGATTATGTGGCAAACCAGCCACAGTTCTGCCTATGAAATAATCCATGACAGACTTGGGTTTAGAAAAGTTTGTGCAAGATGGATAATGAAACAACTT